CCGGGACCCAGCTGCCCGCCATGGGCCGGAGGAGGGCGGCGCGGGGGATGGGGGCTGAAGGAGGCCGCGCTCGCCACCCCGCGGGCCGCTCCCTGGAGGCCTTCGCCGAGGAGGTGGGCGCCGCGTTGCGCGGTGAGTGAGGCGCGATCGCGGGCCCGGGAGTTGGGGGCCGGGAGTGGCCCCCGAGCTGCGCCTGAGGCTCGGTATCCTTCCGTCTCCGGTGCAGCGTCCGTGGAGCCAGAGGCGGCCGAGGAGGAGGGCACCTCGGGCCCGGCGCGGCTACCCTGCACGCTGGCCATGTGGGAGCTGGGCCACTGCGACCCTCGGCGTTGCACTGGCCGCAAGCTGGCCCGCCTAGGCATGGTGCGCTGCCTGCGTCTGGGCCACAGGTTCGGCGGCGTTGTGCTCAGCCCCGTGGGCTCCCAGTACGTGTCCCCCGCGGACAGGTAGGAGCGGGGAGGCGCGGGTGGGGGGAGCGGGCGGGGTCCCTGCCTGGGCTCTGTGCTCTCCCTGAGCCCGGGACCCTGGCGCATCCTTCTTGCCGGGCTCACCTAGGTGTACTGGTCTAGTTTTCCCCCGTTGCCTAGCGCAGGATATAGTCGGTCTCAGTAAACGAGTGAATAAAGGAGTCTGCTGCAGGAACACACACTGTTGGGGGTGCTTGGGGGCCGAGAAATGATGTTCTTGTATCCCTGTGAGGTCAGTCTCCAGGGACCCGTGGTCTCCAGAACCTAGCCCTGCTCTGCTCCTAACAGACAGCTGGTCGCACAGAGTGGGGTCGCTGTCATCGACTGTTCCTGGGCCCGACTGGATGAGACCCCGTTTGGGAAGATGCGCGGGAGCCACTTGCGGCTACTGCCCCACCTGGTCGCTGCCAATCCCGTCAACTACGGCCGGCCCTGCAAGCTGTCCTGTGTGGAGGCTTTTGCCGCCACCTTCTGCATCCTGGGTGAGCGCCGGCCTGCTGCCAAGTCTGGCTACACTGGTAGCGATGGGTTTTCTGCTGGCACCTCCCAGAGCCATGTGAGGGTGTGTGGGGCGGTCGAGGTGGACAGGTCAGGATTTCAGCTCCACCTCTGTCACCCCTCAACTTGTCCTCAGAGAATGTATGGTCCCCGTGGAGGCTCAGGCGGCCCCATGAGACATGGGGAGAGGGCCTTCGTGGATGGCAGAGGAGGGCAAGCAGGCTGTCTGGACCATAGGATGGTGTCTGATGGGGAGTTTCAGGTGTGGGGACAGCGTTGAGGGTGCTTGGAACACACTTGGGATGGGAGAGGTATTGTCGACATCTTGGGTTTCCGGTGTCCTCGCCGTCAGGCTTTTCGGACCTTGCTGTCATTTTGCTGCGGAAGTTCAAGTGGGGCAAGGGCTTCCTAGACCTGAATCGCCAGCTCCTGGACACGTACGCGGCCTGCAGCAGTGCTGAGGAGGTGCTGCGGGCCCAGCAGGAGTTCCTGGCCCACGCCAAGGAGTGCCCCGAGGAGGAGGAAATCGGTGAGGCCTGGCATGGACACAAGCCCCCTGGTTGGGAGCCAGGACCCTCCAGGCATGCCACCTCCTGTTGAGAAGCCGGGTGTGGGGGGGCCTTCCTACGCCAGCATTTGGGGGGCTTGGTTGTGCTCTGAGCTCATCTATAGGTCCCTTTCTTGCTTGCTTCCTCTGTTCAGATCCTTTTGACGTGGATTCTGGGCGGGAGTTTGCAAACCCCAACAGGCCAGTGGCTGGCACCCGGTAGGTCCTTGGGCTTCCCAGGGCTCTCCTCTGCCTCTGGCCTCAGCCCCTCCTATGGATGGCGGGGGTGGGGAGGAGGGGTGGATCCCTCAGCAGCACGAGGGTTTTGTGACTGTGTAAGAGGGAACGTGGAGGTCCCACTGGAGAGGTGTTGGTTTTAAGAACCTGGGGAATAGGAGAATCTGCCCTCAGCTGGGGGCTTCTGTGAGTGAGTGAGCCCATAGTGAACACTCCTCTCCCTTCCAGGCTGCTTGCAGACAGTGGCGACAGCGACAGTGAGGACGAGTCTGAGGAGCGAGGGCCTGGTGCCGAGGATGGAGGAGACAGCAGTAGTAGCTGCCCTGAGGAGGAGGGTCCTCTGGAACAGGGGGCAGAGGCCAGGGCCCCCGCAGAGGTTTGGAAAGGAATTAAGAAACGGCAGAGAGACTAAAGGTGGCAGACACGTTTACTTTTCATGGCGGAGCAGTAAGGAACTGGAGACATAGCAGGACTTGTGGGGACACAGATGGGCCTGGCAGCCTCAGCCCCCGCAGCACTGAGCAGCACTGGACTCTGTCCCCATGCTTCTGACACAGCCGTGCTCTGGGGCCTTCCAGCCCTCCCAATGAAGCTGCAGGCCAAGGAGACCCCAGTGTGAGCCTCTTTCTTTGCACTTGACCTGGGGATGGGGGGGATGGCGTGGGGATGACTCTCAGTCTCCAATGAGGCAGAGCCTGCCTGGGAAGCGTCTGGACTGTGGTGATGTCAGGGCGTGAGGCAGGTCTGGCACGGGCAGGTGTGTGTGGACACAGAGAATACACTGGACAGCTGCGTGGCCTGCACGGAGCTCCGTACACTGACCTATCAACTCTGCGTGATGTCCCCAGCTTCACAGTGACACCCGGGGACCCTCTCCCAGGCCTCAGAGCCAGGTGGGGAGTGAGACCTATGCAGTTCTTAGCAAACCTGTCCATATGCCCTCGGGATGAAGGGTTCCGGGTGCCCACCTTCCCCTCCGCCAGGGCCCCAGGGAGCTGTTTCCTGCCGGCTTGCATGGTCTGGACTCAAACCTGAGCCTTCCTGTCTCTTGGCCAGCAAGGCTCTGCCACACTCCCTGCCCCAGAAGGAGAAGACAGAGCTTCCTCTAAGATGGGGTCTTTGTCGTGGCACTGGTAACATCTGGGAGTGGCCCATCTTTGCTGGGGAGAGCATCCCTGGTCTCACCACTAGTGCCAGTAAGATCTCCCTCAGCCTGTAGCTGTGACCACCAAAAATGCCTCCAGACACAGCCTAACGTCTCCCCGGAAGCAGAGCCACCCCACTGAGAACCCTGCTCTCAGACCGGTGCCCGCCTGCTGGGGGCCGTGGAAGCCGAGGGAGCAGATGGGGAAGCTCACCTGGCGGCCAGGCCTGCTCTGCTCCACATCCAGGGGGACAGCTGCTGGCCAGGCCCCACCGAGGTAGTCCCCCAGACCCAGGTTGGGGGGGTGCTGGATGCAAGGGGTTCACAGTACACAGCGCACGGGGCCAGGGCAGGGAGGAGGGGCTGGAGGGCCAGCCGCAGCATGCACACCACACGGCGGGGTGGGGGGAGCGAGCCCTGGTTGCACAAAGCTGACCGCAGGGCAGGGTGAGGATGGTGCAGGGACTTGGGGACGGCCTGGGGCAGGAGGGGCTCAGGGGTCCGCCTCCATGCACTTCTCCAGCTCCTTGAGTCTCTTGACAAACTCCTGCGCCTCCTTGTTGGTGCGGCCTTCCAGCATCCTCAGCGCTGACTTCACTGCAGGCAGGCAGGAGGGCAGGGGCCAGCGTGAGACCCGACCGCCATCAGACCCTCCACCCCTGCACCCTCACTCACCCTGGGCTCTGGGCCGGCGCAGATGCAGGGTCACGGGCTGCCTGGCCCTCGCGCTCCCTCCCACCTGGGGCCGCGCTATGCCACCGATGCTGCCCAGGCCGAGGGCCGCCTCCCCCGCGAAGTCGTTGGTGGACAGCCAGTCGTGGTCCATGACCGTGAAGAGCACGCAGGCGCTGCGGCGGCGGCACGCCTCTGCCGACACGGAGCTGCAAGCGAGGGGCGGTCACCTGGAGCCGGTGCCCCGCTCGGGCGCGGGCGGGCTGGGGGGGCGGGGGCAGGACACTCACAAGTAGAAGAGCTCGTCGTACACGGGGTGCAGCGTCCGGCTCTTGACCTGCGTCCTCTGGCTGCGGACCAGCGGGAAGAGGTGTGGCGGGCCCAGCTCCACGATCACGAAGGGGTCGCTCAGGCCTGAGGGGCACAGCCAGAAGGCGCCATGAGTGCCACCGCCCGCCCGCCCCCCACGCCCCGCCCACCGGCGGCCCCTCACCGTTGGCGTCCAGTGGGGGCAGGTCCGCAGCATGCAGCACCTCCACGGCCAACCTCTGCTGAGCGGCCTCATAGTGGCAGCGGACGCTCAGGCGCCCGAACCGGTTCTGCTCCAGGCACCTCTGTGCAAGGGCTCAGGCTGGTGACCAGGGCTCGGGGGCCCCGCGGCGGGGGGAGGCCAAGCGCGCCCCCTGGGCCCCGCTACCTGCTTGAGCTTGTCCAGGTAGTACTGCTCGATGCACTCGCGGGTGGAGCACTGGTGCAGACGCAGCTCCTCCTCCAGTCTCTGCGGGGCGCAGGGGTGCTGAGTGCGGGCCCTGTGCACGCTCCCCTCCCTCCTGCCAGAGGCCCCCAGGCCAGGCCTCACCTTGTAGCTTCCGTCCCTCAGGCTCTCCAGGGGCAGACCCTGACCCTCCGCGTGGAAAAAGTTGACCAGGGCCTGGGGCAAGGCAAGAAGGCAGAACCAGCCGAGGCCAGCAGGCTGAGACGGGTGGAACCAGAGCCACTTCTCACACCCAGCGCTGCCGCTCAGAAGCCAGCCCTCCCACCTCCCCCCGGCCAGCCGGGGGGGGAGGGAGGAGAATGCCAACGCCTGGGGCAGCCAGGTGCTGCTGACACGGGTGGGCTGGCAGGCAGGAGCCGTTTGGGTTGGGAAGGCCAGGCCGCCCAGCAGAGGGGCAAAGGGGTGCTCAGCAGCCTCGGGGCCCGGGGACCGCCGGGAAAGGCCCAGGCGCCCCGGCAGGGACGGCTCCTCCACGCGGCCCTACCTCCAGCGTGAAGTGGAAGCGGCCGTAGAAATCCGCGGAGACATCGAGGTTTGCACTGAGGGCCTGCAGGATGGCCTGCAGGAGCAGCTCCCAGAGGGCCTCCAGCACCCTGCAGGGACACTCCGCGTCGGTGGCCGCACTGCAGGCCCCACGCTGCTCACCCACCCCGAGCCCTACCTGCTCAGGTTCTCCTTCACCAGCGATGCATTCAGCAGGGCCAGCTTCTCGTCCAGGTACTTCATGAGCGGGGCCACGGCCTGCGGGCAGCACCCTCAGCGCCAGACAGCCCCCGGGCCCCACCCCATACACCCTCAGCCGGCCGCGCACTCACTTCGTCGTTCTGGATGGAGTCTGGCGACAGGCTGATGTGCTGTACGTACTTCCTGATGTCGGCCACCATCTGCGGGACGGCAGCACTCAGCACCAAGCGGCAGTGCACGGAGCAGCCGGCTCCCCAGCCTGCCCGCCTGCCCACCTTGGAGGTCAGGTGCGCCGTCACGGTGTGGACCTCCTGCTGCAGGTCTTCGTCCAGGGCCTGCGCACAGCTGAGCAGAGGCCGCGGGAGTGCCCCCTCCAGCACTGAGGTCGCCTCCGGCCACGCCAGACCCCGCAGCGCCTGCCCAGCAGCCTTGCGGAGGAGCTCCACGTTGTTGAGGACCACACAGAGCTGGGGAGGCGTGCCAGACGTGGGTGGTGCGTGGGCAGCCCCGTGCTGGCCCCACCGGCCCTCCGCCGCCCCGCCTGCCCACCAGCCTGCTCACTGGCTCGCTCACTGCCTCGCCTGTAGCCCCGGGCTGAGCGTCCACCTTCTTTCGCAACAGCTCAGTGTAGAAGAGGGTGGCCTCGCACAGGTCCTAGGGTGGGACACAAGGGCTCAGAGCTGTGGACTGTGGCCCTGGTCCTGCTCCCCTCCCAGACCACGCTCTGCAACCCACAGCCACACACCTGGCTGAGCTGGGTGCCCAGCGCCTGGGCCTGGGCAGGGTCTGGCCACGCCAGGCGGGCCCACAGCTCCTGGATGAGACTGAAGCAGAGACTAGCAGTGGCCGCGGAGCTGCTGTGCTTGCAGGAGGCATCCATGGGCTCCAGCTAAGAGGGCGGGAGGAGGCCTGGGTTGCAGGGAGGCCCTGGCTGAGCCCAGCAGCTTCAGGCCTGGGTGCTTACTCACTGTGTCCACATCCACGGCTCCCTGAAGTCTCCACCTGGCCTGGTCCCGTAGCACCTGCAGCCAGAGCTTCACGGCGGGCAGGAAGGGGGCATGGATGCCGGCCAGAGCAAGGGAGCGGCTCTCACTGCAACAGGAGGCCCGTCAGAGCCCGCCCTGACTCAAACACCTTCAGCCTGCACATCCCAGCTTCCCTCCTTCAAAGGGCCCTCGGGATCCTGTCCCAGAGGCCTCCTAGAGGAGGCTGGAGGACAGTTGGGCAGGGGGACAGGGAGGAGTGGGTACAGGCCTGGGAGACCCATAGTGGACGGAGACAGATGGGGGCGTGGAGGAAAGGGGACAGCCTAGGGCAGGGCACCCACCGTCCGGGGATGCTGCTCCAGAAGCTCTGGATGTCGGCCAGGGTCAGGTACAGCTCGAAGAGCCCTGAGGCCACCTCAAGGGTCATCTTGGGGCTCAGCTCCTCCGTCAGCACCCATGCCTCCTCGGCCACCTGCTCAGGATGGCGGAGTCAGACCGCCAGCAACAAGGAAACCGAGGCACCTTCCCAGCCGGCGGGGGGCTTCTCCCCACTCCCCCTCCTCACCAGACGCTCCAGCTGCCGGAAAGTGAGGGTGAAGAAGTCGATCTCGACGATGCTGTAAGAACAAATTCCACACACCTGCTTGCCCCACGCCTGGCCTGGAGGCGTCACGAGGGGCTGGGGGCAGAGGCCCCACCTGTGGAAGAGGCTAGCGTAGATGCCATAGCAGGACTGCAGGTCCTCGTAGACGGCGTCAGCCAGCTCCACCAGCCCGGCGAGGCGCAGCGGCCCCGGCTGCGAGGAAGCCCGGTTCACGATGACCTGGCCCGCACCTCCTGGCCGACCCCTCCCCTCCCCTCCCCTGCGGCCAGGCCCTCCCCCAGCGGCACCTGCTCTCGAGGACTCCTGGTGTTCAGGAGCCTGTCGTACCACTCACGGTTGCCTCTCTGCAAGACAAGTCACCGAGACAGTGTGGTGAATGGGGGAGGCTAAAAGGGCAGCAAAGAGTGGCTGAGCAGGCCGAGCCTGGGGCCGGGGTGGGGCGGGCAGCTGGGGCCGGACACACCTTCAGAGCCGCTGCGATGTCCATGTTCAGCTCTGTCTCGAAGGGGCAGATCTCGAAGGACGGCTGGAAGAGCTGCATCTTGCTGAGACACCTGGACAGGGGCCGCCCGTTGACTGTGGGCTGCCCCACTCCAGCCCTAGCCCACCCCAAGCACCGGCGGCTGCACCCACTTCAGCAGCAGCTCCAGGCGGTGGACGGCTGTGCTGCTGGTGGCTGGGAAGTAGTCTCGGAGCTGCCGTAGCAGCTGCAGCCCAAACTCCAAGAAGGCACAGAAGCTGTCAGCCAGGCTCTCCTCCTGGGGGCACAGGGCCCGTCAGAGCTGGCCCTCACTGCCCGCCCCACGGGGTGGGGGCAGGGGCAGCAGCATCCCCAGCCAGTGGGTGGCCTGCCCTAGCCAGTCTGCAAGGGCCTCCGGCAGCTACCCACCGGCCTGGCCCTGCTACTTTCTCCCGCAGCCTCAGGGCCTTTGCACCATCAGTACCCCCTGCCCAGCAGCCAGCGCCCACTCCCTCTGTCCCCAGCCAAGGGAAGGGCACGACCTCCCTCTCCTGGGTCCAACCCATCCCCTATCTCAGCACTGCCCAGTCTTGCTCTGCCCTGGATCATGAGGTTTGTTTTCAAGCCCAGCACACCCTGCAGGCCGTGCGCCCCATGAGGGTGGGCCTCCGCCCTGTCTGCCCAGCGCGCCACCAGCCCACGGCACACCCTCCAGGAACAGCACTTTGAGCCGACAAGGGCACGCTCACCTGCTCTTGGGGCAGGGAGGATGCCTCCTCCCAGTGGGCCTGCATGTCCTCCAGCAGCCCCAGCAGGTAGCCATAGTCCAGAGTGCAGGTCTGATGGTGGCGGCTGCTGACCTGCCAGTGCCTGGGGGGCCAGCCCCGCCATGGTCAGGGCGGAGTCAGAGCTGCGACCCCCCAGGAGACCCCTTGTGCCCCTCCTCCTTGCCCCTTCCCATCCCACAATCCCCTTACGACACCGCCCCGTTCCATCCCTTCCCACTCAAAGCACTCCTTCCCGCGCCTGTCCCGCCCACCTGTGGCCACGCCCACCACAGGCCACGCCCCCTCACCACCCCATGACACTCCCCTCGCAGCACCACCTCTCCAGCTCCGCCCCTCTCAGCTGCTGCCACTCACAGCGCCCCTTCCCAAGCCCCTCCTCACCCCAGCGCCCCCCGCCTCTTCCATGACCACGCCCACTTTCCGTCCCATCTCCACAGCCCTGCCCCTTCCCGGGGCCCGCCCCTCTTAGCCGCCCGTTCCC